TCCCAATCTCCAAAGGTATTGAGCCAAATGGTGTATTGCCTCCTACTCTATTTAATTTTTTTTAATAAATGGCATAGTAGCTTTTTAATTAGAATGCCATGCCTTTAAGTTATCTCATAAGCTGCAGACCATTTAGTTTTAGGATAGTAAAGGACATATTGAAGAAAGTACATGTTCTCTAGCCTGGTAATAAAGCTTCTACAGTGAGGGAAGCCAGAGCAAAAAAAAACAAAAGAGAACTCCATTTACCAAAAATAGTGCAGGAGACATTAATCCCAGAGATTTGACAAATCTCAAGGAAGCAACTTCCAGCAAGCTTCTGACCTGAAGCTTCGTTTAGATGACAAAGTATATTATTATTTTGCTTTTATAAAATAGATTCTGTTTTCATTAATGTTTCCTGTCCAGCATCTGAATGATAGGGAAGGCTAGCAATATTGTTTAAAAAAAAACTAAGAAAGAAACATATATATTATATAAACGGAATTCAAATGAAACAGATAAAATAGTTTATATCTTTGGGGAATTACATTTTATTCTTTTTATTCTTTTAGATCTAGTATAGAAAAAAAACACTAAAAACTCATCAAATGTTTTTGATTCCCTTATGTACAATTATAAAGACTAGCATCATTTAAATGCCATTGAGTTGAGTCTAATGATGGTGACTACATGGGTAGAGTCACTCTCTCAATCTGTCTCCATTGATAATCCATAACTTTTCCAATAAAACACTATTAACCTTTTTGACCTGTCCATCAATTTTATTATAAGGATTATAGATCACCGTAAAATGTTTTTGTTTTCTTTCAAAGTCTGCCATGCGCAATGAAACAAGGATGTCATCCATTAAGGCCAGATTTCAGTTACAGATTTACAATACTTGCCTAAACTAATACTTTCCAGATTATCATTTCTAACTCTTCCAGGTGGTTTAATTTATGCTGGGGGGAAAACAGTTGAAGAAGATATGCACAAAAATGTGAGCCCTCTTCTCAGCTTTTGAGATTTTGAGACAGTGTTAAAGTTGCTGTTAAGGATGAACACTTTGGAGAATAACTCCTTATCATCTTAGAAGATGGGTAGACAAGCTAGATTTATTATCCTCCTAGTCTCCTATGTACAGTCTGTATGTACTTTAGAACAATTCAATGTTTTTCCCTATTTGGTCTACTAAAAGGATAGCATCCTTATTATTAAGTATCTTATTATTATAATATGCTTGTCTTTCTGTTTAGAAGAAATTGAATCAGTAGGCCATATATTACTTTGATGTTTATTCTGCAACATATTAATTTATATAGCTCCTTTTTATATAAAATCCAGGAAAAAGAACATAAAAAGTATAAATTATATATCTTTTTTCAGACCAAAATATGGAAGTTGTCTATAATGTTGATGAGGTTTCTTCAAAGTATATGATTCTGAGATAATTCCATGAAGCCTACCTTGAGGTTCTTGAAAGAAGATCATATAATATGTGATTACACATAACTTACCTATGTTGGCAAGTAGCTGACTGTTCTGATTATGTGCTCTAATATCATAGGATATATTAATATGGAACACCTGCTGTCCCAGAGAAGCTGGTGGAGAAGAGACCGTAAATGTAAAATAATCTTGTGTGCTCCAATCAACTGATTGTTTGTCTGAATGCTCATAGATGATCAATCCTTTATCCACCTGTACAAAGGAAAAAATGCTGAACTTGCTGGCAGTGAAAACAGTGACAAATACATTTTTATTTAGAGATTTTGTTTAGTAAGAATGAATATTTCATACCTTAATCAAAACTTGGTGTTAAAATCGGTAAACCTGTACAAGTGTTATAGGCATCCCAGAACCATAAACATCTTAATTTTGTGGATAATTTTAAGACTGCAATCACAATTACCTTGAAACAGATTTAATCTACGTTATGCGTGCTTACACCATAAGGAAGGCTGAGTGCCAAAGAATTGAGGCCTTTGAACTATGATGCTGGAGAAGACTCCTACAAGTCCCTTGGACTGCAAGGAAACCAAATCGGTCAGTCCTAGTGGAGATCAACCCTGCTTGTCTTTAAAAGGCTAGATCCTGAAGATGAAACTCAAATCTTTGACCACTTAATGAGAAGGAAGGATTCACTGGAGAAGAGCCTAGTGCTGGGAATGACTGAGGGCAAAAGGGAACCACAGGGAATGAGGTGGCTGGATGGAGTCACTGAAGCAGTCGGCATGAGCTTAAATGGACTCCGGGGGATGGTAGAGGAAGGAAGGCCTGGAGGAATGTTGTCCATGGGGTCGCGATGGGTCGGACATGACTTCATGACTAACAACAAATGTGTGCCTACAAAGCTCAGAGATTAATTCAAAATTTCTTTAAATAATGACAATTAAAACATTTTTGCCAATTATGATCATGGTTACAGAGAGCAAAAATCTGAAAAGGAATACTTTTGAGTTTTAGGGAATGCAAAATTGGATGTGGAAAGCAGTTATTTCACTGCATCTTCAGGGAATAATTGGGATGGGTGGGTATTATTGTTGTTGTTATTGTTATTATTGCCAAAAAAAATCTTCTTTTCCAGCACCTCCTAGATCAACAACATTCAATCCAGGAAGTACTGAGAAGGGGAATAAAACAACAGCACAAATTATTATATATATGAGGTAAATAGCTGAGTGGCTTGATATCTAGGCTGCAATCTTATGCATGTACTGTACCTGAAGCTGAAAATTCTTTATTCTAAAGAATTATATTTCATATTTTATACAATACTGTATTATTCTTGTGTATTGTGCATACTAAATTGTAAACCATCTGGGGATCATTGCACCAGAGAGAGAAATATCTGCTGCTACTTAGGATCAAACAGTGAGACTTCTTCACCTCTAGGCCACCACAGTGCTCAGATTGAAGTGGTATATAAATGTTATAAAAATATCTGGGACAGCCCTGCTGGTGAATATTTAGTAAAAGCAAATATTATGTACAGACTTATTGAAATAGGTTTCATAATTAAACTTCATTTCCTATTTATAAATGTGGCTCACAACAAATACAAGTTTTATTTCTAAATCATTGGCTCACTTCTAAATCTTTCTGTACCTTTCCTAAGTTTAATAATTTATTTGTTTGTATCCCACCTTTATTATTTTTGCAAATAAGTTAAGGAGACGAACTATTCAACACATCTTCCTCCTATTTTCCCCACTACAACACCACCATGTGGTGATTAGGGCTGAGCAGGAGGGACTGGTTCAAGGTCACTCAGATGGCTTTTCAAGCATTAATCAATATTGACAGTAGCCACCAAACCCACTCCATAGTAAGGAGCAGAGGTGATATTCAGCAGGTTCTGACTAGTTCTGGAGAACCGGGAGCGGAAATTTTGAATAGTTCGGAGAACCAGCAAATACCACCTCTGACTGGCCCAGCCCCCATCTAGTCTCTGCCTCCCAAGTCCCAGCTGATTGGCTGGGTCCTCTTTTGTTGCCCTGCACAGGAGAAAAGAGCTGGAAAGCAGGTTAGTGGGGTGGGGATTTTGTAGCAACCTTCCCCCAGGAGTGGGGGGGAGAATGGAGATTTTGCAGTATCCTTCCCCTGCCACGCCCACCAAGCCATGCCCACAGATCCAGTAGTAAAAAAATTGGAATCCCACCACTGGTAAGGAAGCTTTTCATATTACTGTTTTCAACTGCTGACTATTTTGAAAGTTAAAAGAAATATCTCCAAACATTTTCATGTTCCACCTAAATATCATTCTAAAAAAGATTAAGCAATGAAGAAATATTTGTAAATGAGGCGTGCTTTCAGTTTTCTAAGTAGATGAACACTTACCATAGATTGTGTAAAACTTGAAATATCCTGTGTGTTATTTTCGGAAAATATACGGATCAGTCTTCCAAGTTTGGGGGAATTTATAATTGTAAAAGCAATTGTTCTGTTTTCTACCTCAACCGCATCATTGGTGACAGCCTTCAGATTGTGGGGTGTAATTGGTTTCCTGGAACCTGAATAATTATAATAATAGTGCAGAAGGGTAATATTGTCAATACAGTTTATGATCTTCTTTAATCTTAAACTCTGTCTGCCCTTGAGCAGTTGCATCATTCAGAAGCAGTGCAATCCTCTAAACATTCTTCTAGAGGTACCAGTATTTTCAACCAAATGTATAATTTCAAATGAGTGATCTCATAACAAAATATTATCCTATACAGAAAGCTCTTTGCACCCAAACATCTAGCATCCAGAGAGAATGAGAATATATACATACTAGCTCGGTACCATACTTCACTACAAAACTATGTGGTTGGGTTAATTTTTTAAGAGGAAAATAAGGAGAGAAAAAAAAATTATGCTTTTGCCTACCAGCATCCATCAGTATTCATCTGTCAGTGTGTGAGAGAGTTGAGGGTGGTTTGGAAACTGAAACAATATTTGCTGTGTGAGCAAGAAGGAGTAAGCAAGGAGCCCGGGCATGGCTTAGCTCAACTGTTCTGTACTAAAGCTGCTTGGTGTTGTGAAACTAAAACTGAAACTGAAAGTCCTCTCCTTGTGTTTGGCATTTGGAACAGATTTCTTTTCAGGTGGGAATGGGGAGTAGAACTCCTTAGCATCAGAGCGTGTTAATAATAAGATATGAAATGCTAATGCTCTGATGGTCATTTAGAAAAATCCTATCTTATTGAGCACCTAGAAGCCAAGAGGAACATACGTGTCAAATTTCAAATTTGTAGGCTTTACAGTTCTGGAGATTTTGTGATGACGTGTAAGTGGTATTTTGCTTTTGTAGATAGATAGATAGATAGATTATACAGCACACACAAACACACACGTGTATGTGTGTGTGTGTATGTACATACATACACACAAGCTTTCCATTCAATTCCCTCATTTATATGGCCTGGGAAACATCAAACAACCTACCAGTCTCCCTATCATGACCCCAGAGCTTCTCTGGTGCAGGTAGAACTATTTTTTGGTATTTTAGACATTAGATGTGGATGGATTAAAATTCTCTTCCAAAATAAGGCTGTTCCTCTCCATTCTCAGTGTAGATATTGACATGCTATGCAGCATGCTATTCTAATGTAGGCCTCATGCTGACAGAGGTTGTGCTCTATAATTTGAAGTGGTATAATATGTAGTTTCTGCACTTCGACCCAGCTCTTTATGAATGATCAAAACAACTCTGTTATTTTACAAATTTCAATCAGGCCAGAGCTTAAAAGAATTAGATCAACAGAAGGGTTTTTAAGCAATATTCTTACATTCTTTCACTGAATGCAAAGGGTGAAATCAAATACGATCTGAAATCAAATCACAGCACAGTTCCAAAAACCTATGAGCCATAATGCATAATTATGTTGCTGCTAACATTTACATTTGTATTTATTTGGATAAAAAGTAAATGTTCTGAACTTTATGCTCAGCAGGTAGCAATAATGGAATGGATCAAAAAGGTCACCGAGGAAACTCATCCAAGCTTGGAGAAAAGACAATAAAAACAAAGAAGGTTAAAAAAAAACCAATTTCCTAACAAGGACATTTGGAAAGAATTTTTAAAAAAAACAGCAATTATTGCATTGTCTATAAATTCTGGTTAGTTATTTTTGCTTTTATATGGAGAATGGTGGAACAGACATAACACATGTCTCCAAACAGAGGGTTCCTGAGACTCTGGCTAGGAATTGTTGCAGTGCCAGCAATAGTACTGGCTGTCTGGTTCATGTTATTTATATCTATCTATATTTACTTATTATTGGATTCCTTTATTTTACAGACTTTCGGGACCCGGTGATCAATTTGACTCTAAGAGGCATACAATGAAGCAATAAAATATTGTAATAATAACCAACAGAACTCAAATACTGTACAGGAATATTATAAAAACATGACAATTATTCTGTCTCAAATGCTGTTCAAAATTATTGTAAGTTTATAATAGTTTACAAATGTAAACGGTAAATATATCAATTTTATCTCTGGAATGAAGGAATTCCATAGGAGGGAGTTTTTGCAGAAATTGCATGACTTTGTCCTCTTCTGCTGTATTTCTTGGAGGTGGGTGTTTGAAGGTAGTCCATATAACCATATAAAGATGTTAAAGCAGCAGCTTGAATTGCACCCAGAAGTGAATTGGCTATAGTATTGATGCTAAATAGTCACCTTGAATAATTCTGGATTGCTCCATTATTTCGACTTCAATCAGATGGATTTCCTATAACAGGAGTGTCAAATTCAAGGTCCACAGGGTGCTTAGATCTGGCCCACGGAGCCAGCCTGGAAACAGCAAAGGACCAGCCCAGAGTGCCTCTTCCAGCAAAAATTAAGCTGGGGAGTGTGTGCTCCATTTTCACTGGCAGAAGGCTATCAAAAGAAACTAAAAACAAAACAAAAGGAGAAATGTTTCCCCTTTTGCATTGGAGCATGCAAGAAGGGACAGGAAAGGAGAAAGAGAAAGAGGGAAGACAAAGAAAAAGAAGGGAAGAGGGGAAGGAGATTATAATGGGAGGGAAAGAGGGTCTCAGGGAAGTCCTGCCTTAGCACTTGGCCACCACACATGCCTCCATCATTTTTATTTGTTTTTTTTGTTTTTTTGTTTTGTCAAGCATGCATCTGATAATATATTTAAGTATAAACATGATAATTAATACATGAAATAGATACGAATAAAAGGGAACATTAAGACAGGGACGGCAGGCACATTGGTGCACTTATGCATGTCCCTTAGAGACCTCTAAGGAATGGGGTGAGGTCAATAGTAGACAGTCTGAGGTTAAAGTGTTTGGGGTTAGTGGAGGAAACCACAGAGTCAGGTAGAGTATTCCAGGCATTGACCACTCTGTTGCTGAAGTTGTATTTCCTGCAATCGAGTTTGCATCTATTGTGTGCTCAAGTATTGTTGAGTGATGTTGAGAGCTGGCCATGCCCCAATGGCCACGCACCCCCCAGCCCTCTGAGGTCAAACACAACCCTGATGAGGTCCTCAATGAAATCAAGTTTGTCACCCCTGATTTATAGCATATTGTAGTAATCCAATATAAGTTAATGAGAGCATGAGTGGACTATTGTCTACAGCAGGGGTCCCCAACCAGCGGGCCGTGGACCGGTATCGGTCTGTGGAACATTTCCTACTGGGCTGCCGGTTTGCTGGGCGCCGCCATCTTGTTTGACGAGAAAGTGCTTCTGGGTGAGCTATTCCGGTTGGAAAGCGGCGTTTGGTTCCTGAAGGAATCCTCGCGCCTTCGTTTCATCGAAGTGGGGGGCTTCGAACAAAACTAAGGCGTGAAGATTCTTTCAGCACCCAAGGCAAGGCAAGCCGAGTGACCGTCCCGAAGCCATCCCGAAGCGAAGCCCATCGACAAAGGTACAAAGGAGGAGTTGAAGGTGGTTGGGAGAAGTGGGGGACGGCTGGATGGCCGGTCGCTCAGCTCGCCTTGCCTTGTCATGCATGCTGATGCTGGTACCAGGCCGTGGATCATTTTGTGATGCCAGTACCGGGCCGTGGCACAAAAAAGGTTGGGGGCCACTGGTCTACAGTACCCTAGAAATGGCGACAAGGGGAATGGCAGCCAAAAATGGTCATCTGACCAGTCTTCACTTGCTGTTCCAACAAGAGGTGCATACTTGTCAAGCCCCAGATGGACCAGACCAGAAAATCCACAGGAAGACTAGACCTATACTTTACTGAGATTGTCTATAATCTTGCAAATTTGATTGTGGTGTTCCTCCCCATCCTTCTCAGTGAATTAGGGAGATGTTGCCTGAACTGCTTCCAAATATTTCCTGGGTCACAAATAATGTTTCAACCCTCTTTGTCCAGGAAATGGCTCTTGATTATTTCTTTTTTCAAAACCATCTCCCTTACTTTCTATAACACCAGAGTTTTATCAGGGAGAATAAACCTATCAAGAGTTAAAGTTGATATTGTTCCAAATTTAACTGGCTTCTGAATCAGAAGCCATTCTGTCTTGCTTGGGTTAAATCACAACCTGTTGCTTCCCAGTCCGATCCTTACAGCCTCCAGACATCAGGCCAAGATTTCCATCACTTCTCTCAATTGGTGTAATGTAGAGTGTATCTATTTACCTATCATCTTATATCTCAACACACTGAATGACCTTCAACAGCAGGTTTACACAGATGAAAATCAAACCTTATTATAGCTCTTATTATAGTATCCTAAAGTTCTACTTTTCTTTACAGTTGGAACCAACTGCTATGAAATAAAGCCAGCAAAGTCCACGGTTTTTGTTATCAACATTACTTCTGTCTCATCTGGTTTTAATTTGAGCTTGTTCTCTCTCATCCAGCCCATTACTGACATTAAGCAATATTCAAGGGTTCTAGTTATTTAGACAGCTAAATCATAAACATTCTGTGACTTTGGGCTCACTTTCTCTTAATTTAATATCATAAACATGTTATGAGACTAAAAGGAAGGAAATCACACATGCCAGCTTGAAGATAAGCAGCCAATAATAAACAAATTGTAAGGGAGAGGTCAGAAGACTATGTATGACAGAATGTTTTCATGTTTTAAAACAATCTTTAAAAGATACCAGTTTTCCTTAGTTCTCGATTATGAGTATCAACTTTGGGGGAAATGTTGGCATAAGGGAGCAAGACACAGCCTTTAAAAATGTACCAGGCCTAGCTTGCTTATAATTATTTTCACTTCCTATGAATATTCTTATAAAAGACCAAATGTCAAAATGAGGATTAAAAGCATTAAGCCACATGTCATATATGAATCACAAATTGCAATTTGCCACTGAAATTGCTAAACATGTTTTTCTACCACATCTGTACTGCTGAAATAATTTCCTAACAGTTTTAATCAAGAAACCATATAAAATAGGTTCACGTAATTTTAAAAAGTAAATACTGCCTAATCCTGATTTAGTTGGACATAAATACATTTTGGCATTGTTTCTTTTTCAAAAAGAATAAATTAAATATTGACTAATCATCTTATTGTTTATCTTAGTTTATTCCAAATAAATCAAGAATATAAAGCCTTACCTGGAAAAATTTCTAATCTGTTATTATTTTCAAGGCGAATAACCAAATTTCGAGCTGTGATACTAAATATCTGGCGAGGTGCAAAGTTTATACCATCTGTAACTTGAAAACTGAAACCTCCAGACATTGATCCTAGAGAAAAGCAGGGATAGAGTGGTGCAGTGGTTAGAGTGCAGTACTGCAGGCTACTTCTGCTGACTGCCGGCAGACTGCAATTTGGCAGTTCAAATCTCACCAGGCTCAAGGATGACTCAGCCTACCATTCTTATGAGGTTGGTAAAAATGAGGGCCCAAATTGTTGGGGACAGTATGCTGACTCGGTAAACCGCTTAGAGAGAGGCCTGTGAAGCACTGTGAAGCGGTATATAAGAAGTGCTATTGCTATATAGTCATAAACAACAGCAATAATAATAATAATTTAAAAACATGTAGAAATTAGCTTGCAACAAATAAATACATTTAATTAAATTTAAATCAAGAATGATTTTTTAAATTATTTAAATCAGAATGATTAGATCTTCAATGCAGTCTTTTTGTACTGATAACCAACTTTGGGTCAAGAAATTATTTCTGAAAGTAGGTCAAAATAAACATTGTTCCTGTTGAACAGGAATATTTTCAATCAATACATTATGGTATCTGTATGCATTGGCCAAACCTACAACTGGCTGCTTGTTGTGATTAGTAATTAAGATGATTTTGGTTCAGTATTTGAATTTGACTGCATTTCTTTCTTGCATTAAAACAATGTTTCAGGGAGCCAGATAAATCCCATGAAAAAGTAATAAACAAAAAAACACTGGCATCTGGAAACTGTGGCTTGATTTGCATGGCTGCAGTTTGCCAAACTGTGGTTCACCGCTTGCGCTTCTTATTCATCAGAATTATTCTTCTAGAATTGCTATGTATCCTTGCATGCCTATGTGTTTCTGCACATGCAAATATTGCTCAGGGAAAAATATATACTAGTATTAGCCATAGATCTTACTTGTACAGTAATCACTTCATTTCATTTGCATTTTAGTAGAAAGAAAAATGCTTATGCATATTTCTTATCTTGGTGTTTATCTGTCTTGCTCCTGAGTTTCTGGTATGGACTTTCGTCTATTTGTTTTATTGAGTGGGGTAGGAAAATATGTAGGAAAAATTTCAGACCATATTAAATCATTTGATATTCTCTGAATTAATGAATATGAATTTCTGTTAAAACAGCTTTCTTCCTATCGCATCCACAAAGAAAACCAGTCATGGGTATAAGAGCAATGGTATGCAACGGAAATAAACTTTATTTGCATGCTTTTATGTTTCTGCTCCTACTCAAAGTGCAATCCAAACCAAAGCTCTACTTTCATAAAGTTTTATGAAGTTTGCTTTGTGAATATAAAATATAAAAGGATTCTCCTTGCAGCTAATATATTATATACTAAGTCATGGAATTACCACAAATGCCATTCAATTCTAGCTCTATGTAACTTATTTATTAAAGATCCCAGAAGTATAAAATATGTAGTTCTCCTATTGGATTTGACTCTTAACTAGGCTATTTTTAATAGAAGCAAAAAAATAATTAACTCTAGCATGAAATTTCATCAACAGTGCAAAATACCTGTATGGACGAATACCACCTGTCCTTCTTCAATATGAGCTTGGGTAAAATTAAGGATATTCTTGTTTGGAGAAGACTTGAGTGCCAAATGGCCATTATTGGGAGGAGAAACAGAATACAATAATTCTGCTGGAGAAGAATCTTTATCTTCTGCCAAGAGTTCATTCGTTGTTATTTCAGTGACTGAACCTACCCACACCTTAAAGAAAAAGAAGCAAAAAGAACTGTTACTCAGATTCTGGCTTTGTTGTTAAAATATATAGTCTTGTAAACAAAGCTGGTTGAAAAAGTAGCTGAGCTTTGCTGATATATCTTTTTTAATAACTTTTATTATAAAAGTTTTTCAAAATAATTAAAAACAGTACCAATTTTAAATTAAAGATGAAAGCTTGAACGGGAAGGGAAGGAAAAGGAAAGGAAAGGAATTGAATTCTTTTCTGATATATTTCTTGAGGATTTCCTATAAATTAGGATACACAACATGGGGTCCACTAGAAGTTTTGTACTATTAAAGCAACTTGCTGACTCTAGGTCTGTGATGGCGAACCTATGGCACATGTGCCGGAAGTGGCACACAGAGCCATTTTTGCCAACACACGAGCCGTTGCCCCAGCTCAGTTCCACTGCGCATGTGCACATGCCTCCCACCAGCCAGCTGATTTTTGGGTATCTGCCGTGTATGCACAGGGGCGGGGCACATGCGAGAGGCGTGTGTTCATGCGCAGGGGCAGATAGGAGCACGGGGAGTCACATGTGCATGCACAAGGGGGCAGGGAGAGCACAGAGGGGGTCATGCATGCATTGCATTATGGCTGTAGGCAAGTGTGTGCGCGTGCCCGCACTATCGGCACGCGACAACAAAAAGGTTAGCCATCACTGCTCTAGGTATTGGGAACTACGTCCAGAACTTAGAGAAAACAAGTTTCTGCCTTGTAGCTAATCAACAAGAGTTTGTTACTGTAATAACAACAATGGTATCCAACTAAATAAGATTATTAAAATAAGGCAAGCAAACAATGTCCGGACCCTTGTGTGAAAGACTTGTGAACATAGTTTAGTTCTGGCACACAGAATAAATCTCTGGTCTCAAGAGGCACCTTGTTCTTTGATGTTCAGTTTGCATCTGACTATGATTAGTACATCAGTGGAAAAATCTGACAATACTGAAACCTACCAATCCCACTGTTGCATTTAAAACTCATTTCAAAAGATTTCAACTAAATATCAAACCACATCCTGCATTAATTCATATCTAAAGAAACATGGCATGGAATTGCATAGTCTGTGAGCATACAAATATTAATGAAGATATGAGAATACCTGTCTCAATAGTATCAGTACTTCCTTGCACTTTGAAGTACAGATGGACCTATGATTAAAGAAATGGAGAAATAACTGGGATAAACTGGTGTCAGCACTTAGCTGCCTTTTGCTGACCTGGCTCAAAAGAGAGACAGACGCCAGGCTCAAAGAATTTGGAAAGGTGCCCAAAAGTCATAATATCTTGGACATCCTACTGCAACTTTCAGATAGCCACTGGATATTGTACATAGTAAGCATGCACCTGCTTGCACAAACACACACACACACACACACACACATGCAAAGTAACTTTCCCAGTCTTTAATGTTTCTGCTGTAACAGAATTCTTCCTCTGTATCAGAATTTCAAGACGATTCAACAAGGTTTCGTTCCTATGTTTATATTCCATGCTTATACTGTTTATTTACAAATTCATAAACAATTTAATTGGGTAAGATCTGAATAGGTATGCATTAAGTTATCTAAATTTCTATATTTCCTGATACTCTTCTATTCACCAAACACTGGTTTGTCAGTTGGAACAAATTTGTGAACAAAGTTAGATGACTGCTAAACACTTTTTTTACCCCTTTCCAATATGTGCTTTATGCATAAATCTAAGTCTCATATCCTCAACATCGCTTATTTGGATTCCTGAGCTTAGTTTACACATAAATCTACTCACACATACAAAGTACGGGTATATATTTAAATCCATTCACACCTACAAGGTAAGGAAATATATCTAAAGCATGTTTGATTTGATTGCTTCTGATGAAAAACTGAGAAAATTAGTAAAGGAAATTTTGATTAAAAATTCTGAATGTTGGACAGTTTTTTTTTATAATGTCAAAAACAATCCAAAAGAGATTTTTGTGGGGGACAATAGAAAGATGTGGAAGAAAAACAAAGTGCAATAAACAAGAATGAAAAAATAATTACTGCAACTATGGAATGTATGAGGGATAAAATAATAATTTCCCAACAGAATAAGTAGATATGGAGTTGTGGAGATTATGTGGAATAAAGTAAAAAAATGCTTGATGACATAATAAAAAAAGCTGTAAATGAGGAAAAATCATGCACAGGTAATCCTTGACTTACAACTGTTCATTTAATGATAGTTCAAAGTTACAATGGCCTCAAAAAAGGGGATTTAAATCTTGTTCTTGCACTTATGACCATCACATCAACCCCATGGTCATGAGATTGAAATTTTGGGCATTGGCAAATGACTTGTTCAATGTGTATCTGATCGCTGTACTAGACAATTGGAAGAAATATGTGACTGTTTCACTCTACGAACAGAAAGATAGTAAGAAGGAATGCAAAAGCTACTGATGAGCATTAGTTTGTAAGTACATCTGGGAAAACGTTGGGCACAATTGTGATCAAAATGGAGGGGAAAGCCTAAAAATAAGGAGATAAATTGTAATAAAAGTAAAATTATCGCAACTGTACTGAACGTTGCTAGGTGAAGAAACATATATAGATGGTTTAAGAAGTGCAAACACTGACAGAAAAGTGATGAGTTGTATGTGGCCTTGGATGAGAAACAAAGATTTGTAGAAGAAGAAACAATGGTTATATAGAGAGAATCCTTCTGTCTACTTTGACAGTGAGAGATTGGTAAATCAGGAAAAACATAAAAGATTGCATTGCAAACAGGGTACGTAAGAAGTGCTTGTCATAAAACATGAAAAGGTAATGACCTACAAGGTCCCATCCAACTCTGTTAATCTGTTAACTTATTGCCAATTACCTTGATCATAAAAACCACTGAAAGTATTGAACCAAGGCCCTTTAGGCTGCAAATAGTAGTTTGTCTGCTCTGTGGTTACTCAGACAGAGGTGATGGGAAAGGTAACCTAGTGAGAACGATATGTCAACACTGTGGATTCCACACATATGCTTGTTCTTTAGAAAGATAACTCACATGCTAGGTTTTTATCATTTCCTTTGCCATTAAATATGTCAAATCTGAAACTGAAAAAATGTTTCACGTAATGCACATATGGAAAATGACATTTAACAAATGTTATTCTCTTATTGAATTTTTTTTTTCTTTAAGTCACATGTTA